TAGCAGCAGCAATTCAGCAGCAGCAGATCTATTCCGCCAAGACCAAATACATTAACATTGTCATATCCATCACCTTGCTAAAATCTTCAGAGAGTTGTCACTCGTTCTTCCCGAGTCACATTAAAGATTCGTTCAAGAACGACACAACACTACTCTGAAACCCTCCACCTTCCCCAGCTCCACCTTTATAGACTGCTACGGGTTATTTTATATGCTATTTTTGCAGCAGCAGTATGTCTTAAATACTCACAGCACTATATCGGCATATGTATCAGCATTAACAAGTTCCTGTACTTGCTTGCAGCAGCAGCAGCAGCAGTAATAATCTACAAATACAGCAATAACCAACAGCAGCAGCAGCGTAGCAGATCTATTCCGCCAAGACCGTTACCATGCTAAAATCTCAGAGTTGTCATGATAGAAATATCTATATTAAATATACTAAATATCTAAAATGACCAATCAGAATTGTAGCACAATGTCTTTGCTTATTTTGCTGAAGATAAATGCTAAGTTGAAGTACTCTTTATCCACAAATATAATTAATATAACCAAAATAATCATTACCAAAACAAACTATTCAAGCCAATCAGCATTCAGTGTCACATTTATACGTCTGGAGGATGTTGGATGGAATGGGACTCTCTGTTCATGTATTAATGTGTTCAAAAATCAGTGGAACTAAACAAATGCGTTTTGTGTGCATGGGCCCAGTGTGTAGTCTATATACCGCTGTGAGATTTGGCCCATTGATTTACTGTTATTGACAACTGTTGGTGATTAGAGAGATCTGGTCATAACTAGGGCTATTGAAACTATATTTTACGATGTCAGAGGGATATCATCTGTGTATGGAAACATAATTATTAGCAAAAAGCAGTCGTGATAAAGTGGCAGTCATGGCCTAATGCTTAGAGAGTCGGACTTTTAACCCAAAGGTCACGGGTTTGAGTCTTGGTACCAGGAGGAATTGTAAGTAGGGGGAGTTAATGTACTCTTCCACCCTCAAAACCATGACTGATGTATTGAGCAAGGCACTGTACACCCAACTACTCCACGGGCGTGCAGCAAAAATGGCTGCCCACTGCTCTGTGTGTGTATGTTCACTACTCACTGCTGTGTGTGTGCCCTTGGATTGGAAAAAATGCAGAGCACAGATTACGTGTATGGAACACCAAATATATAAAAACCAAACTTGCTGTACTTTTCACTTAAAAATCATGTAAAGGAGTAGCCTATCATTTAAGTTCACTAAATGCAAAAATGACATATGCATTCAAATATTGTGCACAAATATGAAAATTATAATAAAATTATTATTTTGTGCTGATAGTGTATTCTTTATAGACATTTTAGTAATGCATAGGCTATTTCTAGTTATTTAGACCTTAAGCGTCAGAGGAACAAGTGTGCAGATGTCTTTAGAATTCGTACGAACTTACCTTCACACTGTGGAAATACAAATGGAAGACAGAAGACAACGAGCGCAGCACTGAAAGGGGTGTGAGCTACATAAGGTCTACACAGCATTTTGACATCTATACAGCAATTCATAGAAACAATATTTAAAATATTTCTTAATAATTTAATAGTACTAACAAACGCTTGCTATGGCAAAATGTGTTTATTTTACCATTCACACCAATTGACATTTATTTGAAGTCCTCTTTTGATTGAAATTCTCTTTATATCTGTCTTTGAGTTTTGTAACAATAGTGAACTGTCATTTTAAGTGACACAATGAAGAGGGAATGACATCATTTGCATTCTCAGATGCCTTTACAATTTTTTTAAATGGGCTCTCACATAAAACAGACATGAAAAACATCTCTCTTGTTTTTCTCCTGATATTTCTTGAGAAGTCACATTGAAGACTTTTGAATGCTAATGACAAGGCTATAACATTATAGCCATTTTGGTTAGACATTTTCCCACCCCATTACATCCCCCCGTCACAAGTTTGAATTCCCTGATATTTTTTTTGTACATTTAGCTTGGGGTGACTTACTCTACACTGCATAGCAGAGATTTCTTGTCTAACAGAATTACAGAAATGTATGGAAGCCTGTTTCCGCCACTGAATAAAAATAAAAAAAAAAGGTTGTTGCGACTTTTTCACAGAATTATGAGATATAAACTCGCAATTGCGAGTTATAAAGTCAGAATTGCGAGCAGGGTTGCCAGGTTTTCACAAGAAACCCCGCCCAATCGTCATCCAAGATGTAGGTGACTTTGTTTCTTCAGTAGAACACATTTGATGATTTTTTACTTTAACCGTTGCAGTCTATCAGTCGTATAATGCATGGCAATGGTAACAAAATCTATGAGAGTAAAAAAAACATGCACAGACAAATCCAAATTAAACACTGCGGCTCATGACAACACATTGATGTCCTAAGACACGAAATGATCGGTTTGTGCCAGAAACCGAACAGTATTTATATAATTTTTTACCTCTAATACACCACTATGTCCAACTGTCTTTGGGCGCGCGCACAGCTTCCGGTGCGTGAGGTGTGTACGCGCTCTGGCGTAGTTTACGCAAGCGCCGGAAGTGATCTCTCGCACGTATACGTCACTCATTGTAGGTACGATGGCTAATCAAAATGGTACTTACTTGCGCTTATCCGGATTGTTCAAACCGACTTAAAACTAAAAGATTACGTTCTCTCGTGCGAAGTCTGTGCATGTTTTTGCATCCATTGCCATGCATTATATGACTGATAGACTGCAACGGTTAAAGTAAAAAATCATCAAATGTGTTCTACTGTAGAAACAAAGTCACCTACATCTTGAATGCCCTGGGGGTAAGCAGATAAACATCAAATTTTCATTCTTGGGTGAACTATCCCTTTAAAGTAGCTCAATTCCGCGGGAAAACCGCGGAGTTGACTACACTGATTGCGAGATATAAACTCACAATTCTGACTTTTTTTCTCAGAATTGCGTGATATAAACTCGCAATTGCATGTTATAAAGTCAGAACTGCGAGATATAAACTCGCAATTCTGAGAAAAAAAAGTCAGAATTGCGAGTTTGTATCACGCAATTATGAGAAAAAATGTCAGAATTGTGAGATACAAAGTCGCAATTACCTTTTTTATTCAGTGGCGGAAACAGGCTTACATAGGGAAATGTGCTTTAAAAAAAAATCACCTTTTTAACACCCTTTCACAGAAAGACTCATTAATGTCTTCGCATTATGAATGAAGGCATGATCAGTATGTAAAAAATCCATTTGAGACATTCCCTTGATTCAGCATTGCCATCCTGTGGTCATTGATCATAATGGCAACAAGAATCATAACAAATTTTCTTTCATGCATCATTTGTAGTTTTATACATCTAAGCTTGCTCACACACATACACATGAACGCCATTCTGTCTCCTATGGACTGTTGGATCTGGTTCCACAAGTTATCTCAAGTCACAGAGGGCATTGGTAACAGTACAACACACACACACACACACACACACACACACACACACACATTATACATCTAAGCTTGCTCACACACATACACATGAACGCCATTCTGTCTCCTATGGACTGTTGGATCTGGTTCCACAAGTTACCTCAAGTCACAGAGGGCATTGGTAACAGTACAACACACACACACACACACACACACACACACACACACACTACACACTACTTGTTGGCGGTGATTGTATTTGACAGCTCAGAGGCGTAGGAGAGAGCCGGACGGAGGTTGTGACAGCCTCTCTGCTGTCGGATCTTGTGGCAGCATTGATTGCTGGGTAATGGGTGCGGCTCACAGCTATCGACCGGCTGCTGGGCTTCATCCGCCTACATCTCCCTTTGGGCCGAAGGAGGCAGACAGACAGACTTTCCTTTCCTGCTCGTGTCAGATTGTGCTAAGAGAAACAAGGTGACGAGAAAGGATGTATCTCATCAACAGAGTGCTGGGTACTTCTAAATCTGTGAGAGTATTGATATTTTTGACAAGTGACAAGACCTTCAAACTTGGAAGGTTTAGGAGATTTGCAGGAAGGAATGGTGTGGGAAAGTTAAGGACATTTTTGGAAAACAAATTTGCTGAAGAGATTGTAAGAGCTTGTTATTTAGTAGTATTTCGTAATTCTGAGCAACACAGAATAAGCCAGTAATCATTTATTATGATAAATGGCCAAGATTTTATATTCTATATCCATTTGTCAGGATAAAAATAGACGACTAAAATCTGAAATCAATAATTTGTATCCATCATTCTAAAGTCAATTTAGCAATAATGCATAATGTACTATGTATAATGTAATGGATATTAATTTTGAGATTTACTAAATATTAAATTATTAGTGTATTAAAACTCTACTTTAAGTGACCTTAAGATGATGGCAAAGGTAATCTAAACATTAAAATATTGCAAATGAGCATGCATAATTAAATATTTAATATAAGTTGATAACCAATATGGTACCAATATATTGTGCATCCCTACAATGCCAGTTAAGGAAATTAATTTTGGTAATACTTTACAATTTTAACATTACACTCTAAAAAATCCTGGGTTGTTTCAACCCAACTTTGGCTCAAATATGGACTAACCCAACTTTTGGGTTAATAATTTAATGTAAAAATTTAACCCAACGGTTGGGTTAGTCCATATTTGACCCAAAGTTGGGTTGAAACAACCCAGCATTTTTTAGAGTGTAGTTAATGTATTAACTAATATGAGCTAAAAATGAGCAATGTATTTTTGCAGCATTAATTAATCTTTGTTAATGATAGCTAATAAAGATGCATTCATATTTAACAGATAAAACTTTTGATTTAAAAAATGTATTCGAAAATGAACTAAGAGTAATAATAAATGCTGTAGAAGTATAGCTCATTGTTAGTTCGTGTTAAGTAATGAAACCTTATTGTAAATTGTGGAAGTCAAAGTCATTCACAACGATTCATCAAATCACATGATATAAATTATTTATTTACATTACAGCGAATAAAAACAAAGAAAAACATCACAAGTATGTTAACCTATTGGAAATATATAATACATAACCAAAGAGAGCCCTGGAGAGCTTATTTCTTCGACGGTGTCATAGACAACAAATACAAGGCAACATGTGGCACACCTCTCCAGTCATCCATCCATCATCCATCCATTCATCCATCCATCCTTCCACAAGCACTTCTCTTTCCAGATTGTTGCAACCCCAGGGAAGGGCTGTTTTTGGCTGTACGCTCTGACGAAGCTGACTGCCTGCTCTCTTTCCCACTGAGTCTGACTCAAACCTGCAGGCCAGGTGGAAAAACCACTGCAGGCCCGTCCCGTGAGGCTGTCCCCTGTTTGCGTCCTCGGGGAATCATGGGACGATAAGGTTTGCACACTGCCAGGAGTCCAGTCTCAGTTCTTACACACACCCAGCAACACCTGTCAGGAGGGGGGTATGTTCCCACAATTCCCCGGGGCCTTTTCTCTGCTGTCTTTAGCACATGTCACTCTAAGTTTAAGGGTTCGTCAGATAAGTCTGGTGGAGGCCCGCAGAGTGTTTTGGGAGTTGAAGTGTGGAACATTTTGTTTCTGCCGTGCTATTCGATTCCCACGTGGACACCTTCTGGAAACACACAAAAAAAAAACAACAACAACAACAAAAAAGGAAGTTTATGTTCCTCATTCTTCGATTTAATAGGGCTTCACGATTAATTAAAATAAATCTGAAATTACAATACCGCTTAGCTTGATAATCAAATTGCAAATATTGTGTTTTAAACATATGTTTCAGTGTGAAGCATCTCTTTCATATGATCCAATGTTTTCAGTCTCAGAGCAGCTCAGTCCGCAGTAAATGCTGCTCAACATGATCTCACATTTGCATGTGTGTTAAACGTAAAAACATTATTGTATTAATAATAATAATAACAACTGTCTGTTGTCAAGAAAGGAGATGCTTAAAGGATTAAAACATAAAATCATTAAATATTACAAACATGATACATAACAGATAAGTCTGCAATAGTACACTCTAAAAAATGCTGGGTTAAATACAACCCAGTGCTGGGTAAAATAGGGACAAACCCAGCAATTGGGTTGTTTTGACCCAACCGCTGGGTCAAAACAACCCAATTGCTGGGTTTGCCCCTATTTTACCCAGCACTGGGTTGTATTTAACCCAGCATTTTTTAGAGTGTAATATTTATTTTGTTTATTTCTGTTTAGTAATAATTTATTATTATTATAATTATTATCACTGTCTGTTGTCAAGAGATGAGGGGCTTTAAGGAGTAAAATGTAAACTGATGAATATATTATGTAAAATAAACATGATACCAGCATAATAGTAATAACAATAATAATAATAAAAACAACAATAAATTATTATTAACAAACAAGCACAGCAAACCAGGAGCTTTTATATAAAAAAATTGATTTGATTTTAGACTAAGGCTGTCAATTAAAAAAACATGCAATCAAATTAAACACAAATAACTACATTTATCAATATTACATGAACAAATCACCTAAAATGATCAAGTTTCTGACAAGAATATATTGACTTTAGAAGTCAATGACAATGAAGAAGACGGCACTGATTCCAGACCAGACCAAAGTTGTTCCTGTTTTCATTAGTTCTATCTTCTTGCTTACAAACATCGAGTTTTACACAGTGAAGATAACCTTTAACTTTAACTTTAATTGGCTATACAGGTTGAGGAAACAAATCACCTACCAAGTTTTACAGTATTATTTTCACAGACCTTAAGGAGTCAATATATAGTTTTTTCCTTTCTCCATATCATTAAAAAAGCCTGCCAGTGACCTACAGCCTGCATAGTAATCCATTTTGCAATTGCATTTTATCAATCTGTCTGAGGTAGACTTTCACACAGGACTCTTATTATTATATTATTGATCTATGTTCCTTATTACAGAATTTACATAGGGGTCAGTGGGCATGATTAAATGTGTTAAATTTTTAACAGGTTGTTTTTTATACAATTAATTTTACTAAATTAATACGTCAAACTGACAGCTCTAATAATAATATATAAAATGCACAGAAAGAGGGAGATGGAGAGAGACGAATGGAGATCAGATAGCGTCAGACAGACACTTGCTGTGGTTTAAATTGTCTCATTAACAGCATCTCTCTCTTCCCTAGCAGCTCAGCAGGGGAAACCTTCCACCACAGGGAATCTTTATTATATTTTCCTCTATGCTTTATTAAATGTCATGTTTTGCATAGGGCAGAGTGTGCCCCTGGCTCTTAAATCGGCTCGGAGGCAGCAGGGTCCGCGGGAGACACTGATTCCTGACCAGACCAAAGCTGTTGCTGTTTTAATTAGTTCCATCCTCTCGCTCGCAAACATAAATTTTTACACAGTGAAGAGAACCTTTAACTCACTGCCTGAACGGGTTGAGGAAACTAATCACCGACCAAGTCTTAAAGCATTAGATTCACAGCCTCAAATGAACTTTTTGCCACACCAGCCAATGGTGGGTGAATTAAGAAAATGAATAGCAATAAATAATCACAGGTTTTGTGCATTATTTTTATTAAAAATATTTTTTTGCTGTTTTTCCCCAGTGACAGCCTGAACCACCTTCTCTTGCTTAAAGTTTAAAAGTTTGAGCTTTTTTGAAAGCAGTGACCCTGTCGGTGAAAACCCAGCTAAAGTCATTTTTGCATGATTCACTGTTTTGTACATAAAATCATCCTACATAATCTAAAGCTCATTCTGTGAAAATATAACCTTTATATCTTTAATATTGACTAATGCCATGTCAAAAATTTGCTGAATTTCAGGCTCAGAAAATCATGTTTTTGAGAAATTCCAATGTAAAGACAAGCTTATTTTTATAAAACTGCAGCATATTTGAACCATAATTATCCTGACTATGTGCCATATACCACATTAAAACTGAGATTCTCTCATTGTCAGTGATATAAAACACATTTAAGGGAGAATTCTTAAAGTTTTGTAAAACAGGCCTATTTATTATGATGTGCATGTGAAATATGAAGACAATTCAAAATAACTGTTTTAAAATGCAATTTATTCCTGTGAGGGCAAAGCTGAATTTTCAACACAATTACTCCAGTCTTTGCTTCGCTGATTTGCTGCTCAAGAAACGGTTGTGTTTAATATTAATAAAAATGTATGCATTTTTTTCTAGATTGATAAATAGAAAGTTTAAAAGAACAGTATTTATTTGAAATAGATTTTTTGTAACATTATAAAGGCCTTTTTACACCAAGCACAATAACTCCAAAGATAACAATTTTAGCGTCCACACCAATGGAGGATAATGTTCTGTTATTATAAGTTATTGTACTGTAAGTGCGCTGCAGTTTTGTCATCTGATGCTTTAAATACTCAAGCTCTTTAAAAACAGGCGGATTCATTCTGATTAGATGTTTTTATCCTTCATCAGCTGGGAAAAAACAAAACAAAATTCCAGCAATGTGATTCCAACAATATTATGTCATTATCATTACAGCTGTTTTAAATCACACTGGCTACAAACCTTTAAATGGTAGTGTATACCATTTTATATGAAAAATGTCATGATGTCATGTGGTGTAACCATCAAGAATTACTATTATTATTTGACAAATTTAATGAATTATTAATTACCAAAGATCACTAAGGAGGGTCTGCAGGGGTCCTCTCTATATGATATAATTTCCTGTTTATCTTTGTTTTATCTTTTATAAACCCTGTGTTCTCAATATAAATTAATGGGACGTGAGCTAAACGTAAAAAAAAAAAATCGAATTACTCTTCAAATATTTTTTTTCCCAAAGATGGTTTCTGTAATTTGTACTGACGTATGTTCAAGTGTTCGTTTTTTTCTATTAAGTTATTAGTTATTTGTAATTAGTTAATTGATGCTATAAAATAGGGTGTGGTTTCATGATTGTGAGCTTGTGATTGGATGTGCGGGAGTTTGGGCGGGACTTTGATTCCATGGATCCACCTTACAATCACTGCTCCTCAGTCTCTAGCTCCAAATCACAGCGGATAATTCTGGGGCTTCATTTTTCTACAGCTGAAAGAAACCGACACAACAGTCTATGGTCGCACCATATGATTTGGCAGACCAGATTATGCCCCTTTTGGTTTTGTTTCATTCCTTTAGTGAGGGTTTGTTCTTCATTGATATCAGGACAGTTGTGTCACCCTCCCATTTTTGATGCCTATTAAGCCCACGTGTACACCCTCTGAAACTATAATGGCAAAAGTTATCCCAAAAAAGCTGCATTATCGCTGCATTGTTGTGTCTGTTTGACAAACCTTTCACTGTCTTTAATCAATAAACCCTCTCCTTTAGAATCCTGCAGGGCTACTTTTGGAGAGTTATATTAAATAAATTGTAGTCGAAACCCATTTGTGCTGATTATATGAAAGTGAGGTGGCAATTTCCCCCTTGGGAGGAAACACTGAGGGCAACAGAGCCATTATGACAACATGGTCCATTCCACATCCCTGGGAGCCTCGTTTCAGGACAAAGCAACAATCAAAACAACCATAATACATTAGAGGCCTCAGAAAGCCTGTTTACAGGTGGAGCGTTACAAAGGCACAGCGGTTGAAAAACGGACGAACCGTACTGTGCGTCGTAAACTTTTAAAATGTCAGAGAGTCTGAATGATCGCTCATGAGAGAGTGCCTGATGTTCCTTACTCGCTCTTTCTATTTTCACTCTCTGAACCATTACTTTTGCTACCTCCCTGTAGTTCTTACACTCTGCATGCAATGCACATCAGAGAATCATTACAATCACCTAATCACTACGCCAACTCTGCGCCCTTGCAGGAGTGTTTGATTTGAACGTACTTCAGTCTGAGAATCTTTGATTAGCTAGACAGAAACACAGAGAGCGAAAGACACCGACAGACAGAGGAGAGAGAGTGCGAGACGGTGAAAGACAGGACTTGAGAAAATTAAAGGAGGAGAAAGCAAGAGGAGACAGATAAGAGAAAGACGTTCCTAAGACACTGCTGCAGTTAGAAAGTGTGTTGCTATAGAAACTGGTTACGGGCTGTAAGGTGAAGGAGGGCACTGCGGTGAACACTGTGCTCTTCTGAAACACCTTTCACTTCATGACTGTGAATGCGCATGTCAAGTTTCATCATTTGATTGTTATTCGCAATTGTTGATTAGTTCTCTGGATATTGCAATCAGAGTTATTCTGATTTCTGAAATGACATTTATAAACTTGTGTCTGCAACTGCATGCCATAATATTTATTTATGTAGGCTTAGGCTAGATCAAGCTGAGAAGTGCTACTGAATTAATTTGCTCTTTTATGCATCAGACAATCAAGGAAATCACACTGTCCTTCTCAGCAGCAGGAAAAACAAAACTGTTGAATTTTGAATAAATTATACAGAAGATCTGTGCAATGCGACAATACTAGAACACTCCCCATCCCATTATAATCAACGAAGCTGAGACATGTGTGTTTTTCTGTATAAATGCAGTTCATAAAGAATATACAGTGGCCCCAAAATGTATTTCAACGCTCACATAAAATGTTTGTAAAATAAGTGCTGAAGTGTCCAAAAACTGTCTGGGGTCACTGTATTATATATTATAATAAAGGTATAGTTTGACCAAAATCATTTAAATATGAACATTCAAAAGAATGATGTTTTTATTGTTTTTGAGAGAAGTGTCTTATGTCCCTCAAGTAATATATTTAAAAACGCAATTTATTCCTGTGATGACAAAGCTGAATTTTCAGCATCATTAAACTAACTAACATAAAATAACATAATGTTCAGGCTGCTCCTTTCCATTCAATGACAGGGTAACACTTTAATTTAAGGACCAATTCTCCCTGTTAACTAGTTGCTTATTAGCATACATATTACTAGCATATTGGCTGTTTATTAGTACTTATAAAGCATATATTAATGTCTTATTCTACATGACCATATTTTAGATCCCTTAATCCTATCCTCATACCTAAACAACTACCTTACTGGCTATTAATAAGCAGCAAATTAGGAGTTTATTGAGGGAAATCTTTTAATTAATAGTGAACATGTGTTCTCAAATCTAAATGGTTGCCAAAGACAGATTACGCTATTCATCTAAAAAAAAAAGACAGAAGTCCATTACTTGTAAAATAATTTTCAACAAAGAATGCACATTTTATAAGAGTATACAGATATACACTGTATATTAAGAATTAATTAAGTACTAAAATTGTTGAATAGATAATGGATTTATAAATAATGAAATGCAAATGATTAAATACAGTATGTAATTACTTTAAAAATCAATATCATTATATAGAGGCCATACGTTATTAGAGGCCATAGTGTTATTTTTATATATATTTTTTAATTTGTTGCTTCTACAAAAAACAAAACAGAAACTTACCTTGTTTTATGGGAATCGCAAAGGCAAGACAGAAAAATAATAATGTGTGGCCTTTTTGGGCTTCCATATGTGTGGATTCTTGTGAACTTGAAATCCCTGTGCTGTTTGCGGATTAATACTAAACATTTTACAGCATATAACAAATGTACGCACATGTGGATAGACACCAGTCGAAGCACTGTCTACCTATATTTATTTAGCTCTGATATTCCTGTCTTATGCCACAACTATTGGATTTTGCACATTGATCAACCTAAGAAGTGCATGGCTGTGCACTTGTGAAGTTAGAGAAAACTAGAAATCTGAGTGATTTGTGTTTTTAAGCTCACCGTGTGATGCAAAGCACTAAGAGGCAGATAATGGCCACTTGCAGAACTCCAATGATGGATGCGATCAGAATGTAACTCTTTCCCGAACCAGGTACCACATACATCACATTATAGTCCTTCGTGTCACACTGCGGCCCAATGAAGCCTGAATGACAACTGAAAAACACACACATGGATAATATCAAGCAATGTTAGAGTTTAAAGGGATACTCCACACCAAAATGAAAATTGTGTCATTAAAGGAACACTCCACTTTTTTTGAAAATAGGCTAATTTTCCAACTCCCCTAGAGTTAAACCATTGAGTCTTACCGTTTTCGAATCCATTCAGCCGATCTCCGGGTCTGGCGGTAGCACTTTTAGCTTAGCTTAGCATAGATCATTGAATCTGATTAGACCGTTAGCATCTCGCTCAAAAATGACCAAAGAGTTTCTATATTTTTCCTATTTAAAACTTGACTATTCTGTAGTTACAACGTGTACAAAGACTGACGGAAAATTAAAAGCTGAGATTTTCTAGGCCGATATGGCTAGGAACTATACTCTCATTCCGGCATAATAATCAAGGAACTTTGCTGCCGTACCATGGGTGCAGCAGGCGCAATGATACTACGCAGCACCTGAAAATAGGCTTATTGGAAGTTATCTAGCTGGGACTATTTTCAGGCGCTGCATAATATCATTGCGCCTGCTGCACCCATGGTACGGCAGCAAAGTTCCTTGATTATTACGCCGGAATGAGAGTATAGTCCCTAAGCCAAAATCTCAGCTTTTCATTTTCCGTCGGTCTTAGTACACGATGTAACTACAGAAGAGTCAAGTTTTAAATAGGAAAAATGTAGAAACTCTTTGGTCATTTTTGAGCGAGATGCTAACGGTCTAATCAGATTCAATGATCTATGCTAAGCTAAGCTAAAAGTGCTACCGCCAGACCCGGAGAACGGCTGAATGGATTCGAAAACGGTAAAACTCAACTGTTTAACTCTAGGGGAGTTGAAAAATGAGCCTATTTTCAAAAATAGTGGAGTGTTCCTTTAATCACTTACCCCCATGTCGTTCCAAACCCCTAAAATCTTGCCAGCCGCACTGCACGGATGCGCTGTTTTTGTTCAAATCAAAGCGTAAATACACGTAGAAAACATATCCTTGTGTCGTGGCTGACACAGGAGAGCGTACGCTGCTTGCGTTTAGTGGTTATTCTCCAAAATGGTGCAATGGTGATGCGGAGAGACACAGAGGAGACGAATTGTTGAATAAAGTCGTTATTTTAGTTTTCTTCGCGTACAAAAAGTATTCTCGTCGCTTCATAACGTTACGGTTGAACCACTGATGGCAGATGGACTATTATGACGATGTCTTTCATACTTTTCTGGACCTTGACAGTGTAATTTACTTGGCAGTCAATCGGACAGTCACAAGCCTCCCGGTTTTCATCCAAAATATCTTCAATTGTGTTCCGAAGACGAACAAAACTTTTAGGGGTTTGGAACGACATGGGGGTAAGTGATTAATGACAATATTTTCATTTTGGGGTGGAGTATCCCTTTAAAGCAAAGAAAAGATGGGCATACCATAATCGATAACTATTTTCAGCAGGTGATGATAGAGGGCAGGGAAAGAATGTGTGCATAATCACATGGCAGTAGGATGTTGATGCCACTGTTTGTGGATAATTACTAGGCATTCAGTGTTTATAGGTGCAAAAAAGCAATGGAAGTGTGTGTGTGTGAGAGTGAGTGTGCAGCGGGGAGCTGGTGCACACTGGGAAAAACATAGTCTTGTTTAATTAGAGCCTCGACCTCTCAGAGGAGGCAGTTAAAGGGACACCTGCCAGCTGGCACACACACACGCACACACGCACACAGCTGGTAGGAATGAGTAATCTTTCAGATTTTTCTTGCACATCTTTCATCACTTCTCATCTTCTCTCATTTCTCGTTCTCTCCCCTGCTTTTGTCTTCTCACTGCTTCTCCAAAATCAATCAAACACCATCCTTTAAAGAGTCTGTGGGCACGTGGGAGAGGGTGAAGGAAGAGTTTGATATATTGTCTGTGTCGTGTGGTGCAGTTACCTGCAGGTGGGAGGTGAGAGGTTGCTAGGATACTCGCACTCTCCGTGGACACAGTAGTTCTTATAACGCTCCGGACACGGGATGTAAAGACCCCACGGTACCTCGCTCACCTGGTCTTTCTCCTCTAAACATACCCCAAACAAGAGAGAGAGTGACTGTAATTTGGCAATCAGGTTTATGTTGTCAGGTTAGTTCTTGTGAAGGGTCGGTTTGTGATGAAATCATGAAAGTGGCATAAAATAGTTAAAAAAATGTCTTAACATAAAAATATCGACAGAACCCCTGCAAACACTTCGAGTGGTTTGCACGGTGGCAAATTAACACCTACCACCATCAAAATGCAGGCATTTGGTTGCAGTCTAGCAGACAATTTGGCAAACAACTTGGATTGTATTCTAACGATGATGCACTTTTGTTGAAGCAACACATTTGATTAATTTTTTAGAAAATTCTCTTCACTTCACTCTTCAAAACATGCATTAAGAATTCAAAAGGTTCACTCTCTATATATATATATAATATAGACATCTGAGAGAATGAGTTTGATGGCTGGCTAAATGTTAACATTGCTATAAAATTCCTTGTCATTTGATTAACAAGGCTTACATAAAATGTTCGGAATACATACAGGTATGTAACTGTCCGTAAATTATTTGTCAAATAATGGTAATTTTCTGAAAATCTGTGCCAGTTACAGAGGGATTCGGGTGAACAGATTCACAACAGCTTTGGTGCCTGTGCTCTAACATGAATTGTCATTATTGAATGAATTTTGTAGGCCAACCTGGAAGTTAGCATCACCCTGGTTTCCTTCAGAAAAGCCATTATGATCTAAATACAATTGCCAGAAGTAAAACACAAAAGGTAGGCTATAAACGATGGTTGCATGACTTCAACATCACCACCACTATGCTTCTGACAACTAATTCAATTTTTATTTAAAATCTACAAATTGGGAAGTCTGCGTTAGAATAGTTTGCAAGAGCACGATTATAAACACAACGATACTGTAAAATCAAACTAGTGAGTAGATGAGTTTATCTGCTGTTGTTTAATGTCCCCGATAGTCCCATTTAGCTGACTTTTTCAAGACTTGTAAAATCACCAGAGGGGTATTATTAATATTTTATGTTGTAAAATAAAATGTGAAAATATCTTGTGCTTCTTTTATCCACAGACCTTATTTCAGTCATTTAAACAAAATCTGTTGACTTTGGGACTTTTGGGAAGTTCAAAAATGCGAACTTGTTTCCAGGTTTTAGGACTGGTTCCTGCAGGACTCTATAAGTGTATGTGAATGAAATTTGAGAGCTGTGGGGAAAAGAAAACCATTTCAGCAAACAATTTGGTCTTCAATTTCTGTCAGTTCCTCACAGACCGTTCTAAAATTATATGGACTTTGCACAATGAGGGTGAGTAAATGATGACAGAATTGTAATTTTTCGATGAACTAGCCCTTTAAAAGACCATTTAGGACAGAGTGCAGCGTTTCATCTCTTAACGGTGATGAGAATGTAAGTGTGTGTGTGTAAGAGTGCATTTGAAGGATATCCGTGTAAGTCAATGGAGGGATCAATGCTACAGCAGTGACACCACACCCTCCTCTGTTTACTCAATTAATCACAATCTTTCTTTCTTTCTTTTCTTATCTATCGCTCTCACTCTCAAACTCTCTACTGACACTGTCTATGAAGCAGGTCACAGCACTCTGTCAAATTGTCACACACGCAGGGAGGTATCAGGGTACGGTGGTCTGTTTAGAACACATAAAGCAGGCTAGTTCTCCAGAGACTCACTGGTTTCAGTATGCTCCTTCACACCGCTCTGTTTATCACAGGAAAGGAGCGACACTTTGCTTTTAGAGCTGTTAACATTTAGGTTTGCTGCCGTTTCATTTAATGCAATTAACACTTTTAGTGAATTTGAAATCAGAAGTACTTGAAAATGCAGGCTGACTCTCATTTACAGATACATGAAGGAAAACATTTCTTTAAGAAAACTTTAATGGCAAATTTATTTATAAATGAAATTCCAATGGAACTTTGAACAAAAAGTAAAGTATTTCTGCAATCTAATTATATTGGAATTTAATTAAAATGTTCAATATCTGCAGTACTGCTGCAGCTAAAATGTTATTATTTTGCTTTCTTTCCTTAAATGGGAAACGTAATGTATTTACATTTTTTTTATGTGTTTTAAAAAGAAACAAAAAACACACTGACCTACACTACTGTTCAAAAGTTTGGGGTCTGTAAGATTTTTATTTTAATATTCATTAAAGAAGTATTATGCTCACCAAGGCTGCATTTATTTGGAAAAAATACAGTAAAAACAGTAATATTATGAAATATTATTGCAATTTAAAATAACTGTTTTCTATTTTAATATATAATAAAATCCAATATATTCCTGTGATGCAAAGCTGAATTTTCAGCATCATTACTCCAGTCTTCAGTGTCACATGATCCTTCAGAAATCATTCTAAAATGCTGATTTGCTGCTCAAGAAACATTTTTTATTATCAATGTTGAAAATAGCCGTGCTGCTTAATATTTTTGGAAACTGATTAATTTTTTTCAGGATTCTTTGATGAATAGAAAGTTCAAAAGAACAGTGATTATTTGAAATAGTATTTTTTTGGGGGTAACAATGTAACTTTACTGTAACTTTTTATAATTTTAATGTGTCCTTTCTGAATAAACGTATCAAATTCTTAACCCTAAACATTTGAATGGTAATGTCTCATTCTTTTATTTACATCAAATGCTCAGTGGCAACATGGCTCTTTTAGATTTCTTCATTCAAATTGAGCTAAAAATGCATCAAAAAGTGCTGTATGGGGTTGGATGGATGTGGGCAAAAACATTGGATACAGAAATTATGATCATGAGCTCTTAATTTATGACTGTCAAACTGTCAAAAAAAAATACAGATATGTAATTAAAAAATGGTATGTCGTGATTATTTGAATCTACCGACATTAATGTTGCACTGTTCACTTGGCTACAGTATATAGTTATACGTAATCAAAACCATCAGCAGAACGTGGTAAGATTTTGTGCATGTGTGAGACAGAGATGGTGAGTGAGGGGAAAATGTCCTCATAACCTCAGATCGTGTGCAGAATGACTGTGATTAGACTGTTAGGCTGGAGCAGAGGTGAACACATTTGTGTTAAATAGATTGAGAGTTGAGACTGACCCTTACAATGTCCGAGGTATTTGACCTCAATCCTCTCCTGCTTCTGACACGACACCTCTTTCACCTGGCAGGGGTTGTCATAGGAACGGCCGTCTGATGCACAGACTGGATTAAAACTGATGTGGGAGCAATCAATGTTGCACACACACCTGCAGAGAGAGAGAGAGAGAGAGAGAGAGAGAGAGAGAGAGAGAGAGAGAGAGAACATAGAGCAGAGTAAACTTCACTGTCCACACTAGACAGAGATTCATGCCTGGGTTTACTCATTTACAAAAGGGTGAGATAAATAAATTCTCTATATAAGAGTGTTAAAATGTGTTTAAATGTGACTGTTTAGGATTTTAATGACGGATGAAAAGTAATTCAATTCAGTAGCCAAAAAATAAGAAAATATCACACCATTTTCAAGTTTTGTTAAATTATGCAAAAAGTATCAAACATTTATGTGTATATATGATGCATCAAATTAGCAAGACAAAGGAGTCTTAAATAATTATATACAATAAGAAGAAAAAGGCATTTAACCAAACAAATCACAGCAAATGAAAATGAAATGCTTTCTTTTCGAAGAAAGAGAAATACTGTTTGATTAATGTTGGACTTCCAACTTATAAGACATATGTTGCTTTGGAGACACATATCCGTCTATACAGAGAGTGGGTTACTGTGCCTCCTGCACCTTACTGATGATTTGAACATCTATTTGCCAAATAAAATGACACATTCAGCTCCAGCAGCAGGTTGTTTAATACAATAAGAACGGTGTGATTCTCCTCCACATGAACTACTGAAAAAACAAATAACGTTGAGTCAACATACCATCATTTAAAAACATATTTTGCCATTGTTTTGGCTATTTGGGCAGTCGTGCATGCATTTTTCCTGTTTAGCCATGCAACAAATTGTTCTTTTGTGTCAGAAGTTTTTTAATGAATCATCTAAACCAGTCCACAAAACAGGTCAGATGATTTGTTCACGAATCATTATTAACTGAGAAAGCATGAGTGGGCTGACAGTAAAAATATTTGGAGTGAATCAAGGATTTAAATGATGCACGTAATTTAATGCAATAGCTGAACATCAAATAAACAGGCACGTGGAGAGGGGGGTGCTTTGGGGGCTCAAGCCCCTGCCCTTTTTTTCAAAATTAACCAACAATAGCCTTAGTGTGATCAATAAAACAAAATGCGGTAACACTTTAGTATAAGGACCAATTCTATTAACTAGATGCTTATTAGCATGCATATTACTAGCATATTGGCTGTTTATTAGTACTTATAAATCACATATTCTACATGACCATATTCTACATCCTTAATTGCATATTACCCAATACCTAAACTTAAAGGGGTCATCGGATGCAAAATTCACTTTTGTTGTTGTATGAACATAGATGTATGTTGGAAGTGTGTGCACACGTAAATATGATTTTATCAATACATGCAAAACAGTTTTAGTCAAGAGGTATAAATTAATTTTAGTATTATAAACTTTTTTATTTTTCATGGTTATCATGGCTGGGAAAGCTTTATTGAATTGTTTTAGAGCATGTAGCCTATGCCACATCACATGTCAGAGACCATGTGATGACAAAGAGAACCACTGAATCGGTTCAATGAAATGAACTGTTCAAATGAATCAATTTTGTGGAAATGAATCAGAATGTCCATCACTATTCCTAAAAGATGTTCCTATAAGAGTACAGATATTAATAGATAGATGCACAGAGACTCTTCATTCCTTCAAACATTATTTCACCAACCATATCTTTCAGTTTACTTTGCATTGAGTGTGCAGTTTATCTGTCCATTTATTTATGTAAATGCACAGTTCTTCCAGACACCCCATTACTGGAGACTGACTCTATCCTGGCTGGAAGAATGAGCATCGTCTCTCCCTCTCTTGTACATGCAGTCTGAGATATTTATCTATCTGGATGAACTTCAATGTTGCCATCTGTTTGCCTGTGTAGTCTCAGAATAAATATGATTTTTTAGCAAAAAATTAGTTTTCCAGTTTGTATGCTTATATGCATCTTTATGGATAAGTTTGCAGTCAATAAGTCTCCACTAGTGGAAATGTTACTATTTAGCATTTTTGTGGGATGTCAATGCGGATGTGTAAATCTCTCAAAACGAATAATTTTGAATGATTAATTCCATATAATTAGATGTGGAATCATTATATTTTTGTTTTGAAGTAAAAAAATAAATAAAAAATTAAGATAATATTAATATAAATCAAATATTAATATTAAGATGTTAACAAAAAAATTAATATTTGAAAATAGTTGTTGTTAATTAAAATAAAGCTGAAATAAAATAAAACATACAAACTGAAATAAATAAAACTAAATAGAAATATTTAAAAAAAGGACTAAAACTTGAACTAAAATTAAAATGACAATAACTAACTAACTAACAAACTAAATAAATAAAATGAAAAATATTATTATGAAAATTTTCTAATAGATAATAATAAATATATTATATCATATATACTGTATATATATATATATATATATATATATATATATATATATATATACAGCAAGGAAGCTTTAAATTGATCAAAAGTGACATGTATAATGTTACAAAAGATTTATATTTTAAATAAATGCTATTGAACATTCTATTCATTAAAAATATATATTACAGTTTCTGTTTTCAACTGTTTTCAACATTGATAATAATTCAAAAAAAATTATTGAGCACCAAATCAGTATTTTAGAATCAGTGTGTGTGTCTGTGTGTGTGTGTGTGTGTGTGTGTGTGTGTGTGTGTGTGGGTACGCTTTTTTG